TCCATTGATATACTTCAATTAACAAGAACAATTAGCTAGAAGCAGAACTACAGAAGCCAAAAAGCAAGGTTTGCACATTGTGAGACTTTCCCAGAACTATGGACTTGGATGGCCTAGGTCTTTGCTTTTATTTTGACACACAGTACTGTCTATGAGCTGAGTTTCATGGCCCGAAGAGCATTTCCATCACTGAGTCAGTTGTGCTAAGGTCTGAGGGCCTGCTACATTAATCAAAACCAAACACCAATGAACTGGACAAATGGCTCAGTGATTAAAAGCAGTTGGTGGCTCCTACAGAGGACCCGAGTTCAGTCCCCAGCAACCACACATCTGTAACTCAGTCATCTGTAACTCTGGTTCCAGGAGACCTGGCACTCTCTTCTGAACTCCCTGGCTCCAGGAATGGCTGTAGTGAACATATATCAACCATACATACAGGCAACACACTCATACCCATAATAAAAACAACAAAACAGAGCCCAAGCCCCAAGCATATAGCATATCTTCTGCATCTAACAACGTTCGCTATGTCCCTAGCTCTTCAATGCTGAGCTACAGAGCACTGTCGGGAACAGTCTGGTCTTACTGGTTAGTTCAGTCTCGGTAGACTAGGGTAGTCTTTGCTATCCTAAGGATTCTGCTCCTGCTCAGATTTAATGCTTTCTATTCTCCTTTCAGTTAAGAGTTTCCCTGGTTCTCTCTTTCCCTTAAGTCCATCCTTTTTGCCTGCCTCTGCCTCCTGAGCACTGGGTTGGAGGCCTGCACCGTACCTGCTTTCCTTCAATCCTCTGAACCTGTGATTTAGCCCCTGCTACCTGCGGAGATTCAAGCACACAGTGATCCCATTGTTGTTCAGAAGACTGTGCAGTTTTTATTTTGAGATTCCTTTGGACCTGCAGACTTCTCTGCAGAGCATCGATTGTTTTGTTTTGTTGTCAGCGAGTGTGTCCTTTATGATTTTAGTTTCCCAAGAGTGGTGACCACTTTTGGTCAATGTTCTGTGTGAATTTGAAAATAATGTAAACTTTGGATATAATATAGTTGTAGGTATGAGTTATGATTTAGTCTTGTGAGATAGGTTTTCCAAAATTCTTATATCCACAAAGGAGGTTCCAGTCACCATGGTCACTTACTGAAGATTGTATAAATATTACTATTATTCTCAATGTTAAGTGGGAAATATCCCAATCTGTGTGACCTCAGAGTAAGTCACACAGCAACTGGCTTGTTGCAGTAGTACACACATGGTACACTCGCACACCCAGAGGTTTTAGGAATTACCCTTCCGCATCTACACCATCTTTGGTCTACACATGTGGTTTTGTCAACATCCCCAAAGTGTACATGACTCATGAATCTGAGGGACTCCGATTCATCTCAAATATAATTTTTTTTTATGGTTTTTCGAGACAGGGTTTCTCTGTAGCTTTGGTGCCTGTTCTGGAACTAGCTCTTGTAGACCAGGCTGGTCTCGAACTCCCAGAGATCAGCCTGCCTCTGCCTCCTGAGTGCTGGGATTAAAGGCGTGTGCCACCACCGCCCGGCTCAAATACAATTTTTTTTTCTTGGTTTTCAAAACAGGGTTTCTCTGTGTAACAGTCCTATCTGTTCTGTCCTGGAACTAGCTCTTGAAGACCAGGCTTGGCCTTGAACTCCCAGAGATCCGCCTGCCTCTGCCTCGCGAGTCCTGGGATTAAAGATGTGTGCCACCACCACCCAGCCTAATTTTTGTTTTTGAGGTAGGGATGTCACTATGTAGACTTGCTTAGCCTAAAACACCCTACATAGACCAGGCTGGCCTTGAACACATAGAGACCAGCCTGCTTCTGCCCGAGTGCTGGGATTAAAGGTGTGTGTCACCACGTCAGGCAAACGTCATTTCTTCATGCTAGGAAGATTGTTAGTTTCTTAGTTTTGCTCTGTCTTACAGTCTATGCAACTTAACTTTCTCCTCAGAACGAACTGAGCCAGGAAGATTGCTTAGTTGGTTGTGACAGCTATGGACCTTTATAAACACATTCCAACCATCACAAATAAGATAAACTTTTAAAGGGAAAATTATCTTTTTTTTTTCTGTAGGCAAATGATTGGAATTCACATTTTACTGTGATGAGCTCTCCTACTAATCTTGTAAAAATCCTATATATTCACTGCATTTCTGTGTTTGAGCACGCAGAGGGCAGAAGGTGATTTTTCTGAAACTCTTCTCTCCTTCCATCAATTGCCTTTGTCCCCAGGATCAAACTCGGGGCACTGTGCAAGTACTTTTACATGCAGAGCCCTCCTTGCCAGCCCCAAAATTGTATTCTTAACATTTTTTTTTTTTTGGTTTTTCTTTTCCAGGGAGATAGGGGTAGGGAATGGTTATTTAGAACAATTTCTATCACCTAGTGTTTGGAAACCAGTATGAAAATGTGGCAATCAGGGTTTAGATCCTTAAAATGACTCAGAGAAAATAAAAACTCCAAAAAAGGAATTGACAAGCAAATCCTTCAGATTTTCATAGTGCAGAAACCTCAGAACACAAGGTTAAACTGGGTGGTGGTGGCGCACGCCTTTAATCCCAGCACTTGGGAGGCAGAGACAGGCGGATCTCTGTGAGTTCGAGACCAGCCTGGTCTACAGAGCTAGTTCCGGGACAGGCTCCAAAGGCACAGAGAAACCCTGTCTCGAAAAACCAAAAAAAAGAGACAAGGTTAGTCCTTTGGCTGGCCTAACCCCATTGTTCATGAGTGCATACATTCATCAGCACACCTTTTTCCTGTTTACTAAGTTTGCCTAAGTAGCCTAGCTAGATGAAATGACTTGTAGCAGACAATAGTGGAGATGAGCTGTAGGTGCTTTCTTTTCCCCTGGCTCTCTTTTGTGTGAAAGCAGGGAGTGTTTAATAGGAGTACTCTTAAGTCCCCTCCCCACCGCTGACTTGAAGTACTACACCATGCGTTTTGTTTGTTTTTCCGAGACAGGGTTTCTTTGTGTATCCCTGGCTGCCTGGTACTTGCTCCGTATTCAGGCTGGCCTTGGACTAACAAGGGGTCTGCCTGAGGACTGGGATTAAAGGCGTGTGCCACCACTGCCCAGTTTACATCATCATTTGAGGAAGTTATTACCAAAAACTTGCCAAAGATTATATAGACAGAGTCTCACTAGGGCTGCCCTACATATGAAGCTGTCCTCTAGAGAGCTGGGATTAAAGGCATGAGCCACTATCAAATTTTAAAGCCCACTTTCCCCTATTAGGCCACACAAGAGATAATTTTAGTTTCTACAGAATCACGTCCTTCCAGAGGCCTCGATGCCTTATTGGAAAGATGATTTATTCAGTAAGGAGTTCAAAGCACTATGCTTAGGGAAGCTACTTTAGAGCGCTAAAATATCTACAAGAGAACTTGTTGGGAAAGAAAAGAGCTGGAGGCGCAATGGTGCCTGCACTGCTTCCTACCCACGACCCACTGATGACGACTTACCTGGTTCCAGCTTTAAGTGGAACCACTTAACCCTAACCCACTAGAAAGGGCTCGATCGTCTCATTTTGACAGGAAGACAATCAGAGAAAAAGAAAACCTTTCTGAAGAGCATCCAGTCCTTGGTGAGGGTTAGGACTAGTCTCATTCTCGCTGTCCACGGTTGGCGCTCACATAAAAGCCTGCTGTGAAAACGGCACCTAGGGCTGATGCCGACGTTAAAAACACGCGTGGAGTCGGGCAGGACTTGCACCCAATCTTCTCTCGCCCCACTCCCGCCGCCCCTAACCACAAGGGGATGGACGAGACTCCAGCACTTGACTTCTATACATGCATATAACTTAGTCTAACGGGACATTCAATCTTTAACAACTCACAATAACCTAAACTGGGTAGGAACAGAGTTTCTGAAGATCTTCCTGCTCAGCGGCATTGGAACTGCGTGATGACAGGAACTGTTCCCATATTATGGGCTAAGCCGACCCGATTATTTCCGGATGCCCCAGGGCTGTGAGGGACTACAGCTTTGAAGTGACAGAAACTGGTGAGGTACACTTGAGAGCGGCTCACACTACAGCAGCACTAATAGCTAAAAGGGAATACGTTGTGTATCATGTACGTGATGCGACAGGCTGCGCCGCACCCGGCCCACCCAACATTCTTCGAAATGTCGGTGTATTGCACCAGAGCCCTGCAGGGAGACAGATTTGCCGCCCCACCTTACCTAAACAAGAGATCATAAGCCATTAGTGGTTACAGCTCTTTCTTCGAGAGCTGAAGTGGCTCTGAAAAGAGCCTTTGGGGTAAAGTCGATCAATCACGTCTCGGCTGCGCTTCACTTGGAGCTGGTGTACTTGGTGACGGCCTTGGTGCCCTCCGACACGGCGTGTTTAGCCAACTCCCCCGGCAGCAGCAGGCGCACGGCCGTCTGGATCTCCCGGGAAGTGATGGTGGAACGCTTGTTGTAATGCGCCAAGCGGGAAGCCTCGCCAGCGATGCGCTCGAAGATGTCGTTCACGAAGGAGTTCATGATGCCCATGGCTTTGGACGAAATGCCCGTGTCCGGATGCACTTGCTTCAACACCTTGTACACGTAGACAGAGTAGCTCTCCTTACGGCTGCGCTTGCGCTTCTTGCCATCTTTCTTCTGGACTTTTGTAACAGCTTTTTTCGAGCCCTTCTTTGGAGCAGGAGCGGATTTGGCCGGGTCCGGCATTTTCCTCCACGTTCAAAGAAACACCACAAAATGGAAGAGGCGAAGACGGACTGATGGAGAACGGCTGGTTATGCGCTACTTATAGAGCGTGTATGCAAATGAAGGCTCTTTCAGTACGACGTTTTTATTGGCTACTTTCCACTAGCGTTAGCGTCAAGGAGGCGGAGCCTACGCAAATAGATTCTGGCTGCGCGCCTTGGCAGTGATTAGAGGAAAGTCTTCCTAACCAATCGCAGCCTTGCATTTCATGCTGGCCGGTAAGAGCTGCAGCTTCCCTTCACCTGTTCTTTATCTGCCTTTCAGTGGCGAGTTCGTAAGCACCAGGTTAGACAAGTTTACCCTTTTGGGCCGTCATGCTTGGTGGTTGAGATTCACTGATTAGCTCAGCTCATGTTTCCCTCCAATTCTTCCTGGATTTGGCCTACCCAAACTGAACAAACGTGGGGGAACAGTTCTGACTTGGGGTCGCTTGCAGATGCGAGGTAACACATTTGGGAATATGCTTGAAACTTGGGTTCAGGTATCGCCTGATCCCGAGTGCAAGTTGGCACAGCTGCTCTTATGAGAACGTAGGTGGCTCTGAAAAGAGCCTTTTTATGTCGACTTTCTGGAAACGCAGCTCAGGCCCGCTCCCCGCGGATGCGGCGGGCCAGCTGGATGTCCTTGGGCATGATGGTGACGCGCTTGGCGTGGATGGCGCACAGGTTCGTGTCCTCGAACAGACCCACCAGGTAGGCCTCGCTCGCCTCCTGTAGCGCCATGACGGCCGAGCTCTGGAAGCGCAGGTCGGTCTTGAAGTCCTGCGCGATCTCGCGCACCAGGCGCTGGAACGGCAGCTTGCGGATCAGCAGCTCGGTCGACTTCTGGTAGCGCCGGATCTCGCGCAGCGCCACGGTGCCGGGCCGGTAGCGGTGCGGCTTCTTCACGCCGCCCGTGGCCGGCGCGCTCTTGCGGGCAGCCTTGGTGGCCAGCTGCTTGCGCGGGGCCTTGCCGCCGGTGGACTTGCGGGCGGTCTGCTTCGTACGAGCCATGTTTTATGCGACTTTGGCTTGCGGGCGCCTAGCGGCCATATTTATAGACTTATCTTCGTCTTTATTGGACCAGAAAAACAGGAGTTTGTGGACTTGGAGTCTGATTGGGTAGAATTCGATCCTAAGAATCGCAAGATGGTTACACTATCCCTTTTTTCCTGATTCCTTCTTCCTGAATTTACGGACCACGGAGTGTTTTGAAAAGATGGTTCTTTTCAGTTGATGTAACTTTTCTGAAAGCAGTGTATAGTGTTCCGCGCACTGTGAGCTGTAAGAGGTTCCCTCGGAAACAAGCGTGCCCCTTTCCTACGCTGCGATTCAGTTTGTTGCAAATCACCAGTTACTGTAATTCTTCTGCCAGAGTTAGCGTTTATTTACCTCTGGCACTGTGTCCCGAGGTTTGGAAGCCTTTATAACCGTAGCTGAAAAATGACAACGCAATATATGGTGAAAGGAACTAAAATCAAACTTACATTTTTATCTACTTCTAAACCCGACCAAAGCTGGCCTACATTAGCCACACACCCACGTTCTGTTTGCCCGCCCCTCCCCCGCCTTCCCTCTCTAGTGTGCACCGTCCTCATCCTTACATTAAAGACCTATTAAGTCCTGCAGGTGAAATGAGTATATTTCAGAGAAGGATAAGATTAGAAAGTGTTAATAACCCCTTTCTAGTAGACAATAGTTGCTAAATAATCAAGCCTTTTTCATTCAAGTGACACGATAAAATAACTTTCAAATCAAAGATTTATTTATTGACGACTAAGGTGCTAACATTTTCATCCACAAAGATTAAATGTTTTATTATATTCTTCCCAAGAAGAGTGAAGTTTTTTTTTTTTAACCTTACAGCTATTTGACATGTTTTGGAAAGTGCATGTTATAATGGTTATATGCAGATGTGCTAACTAATATAAAACTTTAAATAGCATGTCTGATTTTTTTTTTTATTTCGAATAAGCGCCGGGCGGTGGTGGCACACCCTTTTAATTCCAGCACTCAGAAGTATGGATTAAGTTTTGGGTTTGGGTTCAAGTGCCTCTGGAGTTATAATGGAACACCAACTGGGACAATTTAAGTTTTGATCTGTGGGCTGCTCAGGCTGTATACCTGATTTGCTTTTATTTTGTCTGGTCTGCAACCCAGGACCAAATTAAGAAATCACGGGAATTTGGGTTTCTTTCCTTACTCCATTTTCAGATGGACCAGTGCCTCTGGCATTCTCAAGAACGGAAATCAGTCACAGGTACTGCCTATAGACAACAGCTATATTTCTCTGGAATGTTCTAGAATCTAGTAATGTGTTACAATATTTCAGAGCTATATAAAGTGTTGTTGTTTTATTCCAATAGCTATCCTCATGAGACCTGAATAAATGTTAACAGATATTTTAAGGGCTTTTTTTTTTTTTTAAATTGCAGGGTTTTTTTTTTTTTTTTTTTTTTTTTTGCTTTACTTTGCTTTAATTTTCATAGTTTCTTGGTTGGACCTGAATCTTACAAAGACAGATAGTCAAAACAATTTGTTTTCCTTTAAATATGTTGTTTTCGGGCTGGAGAGATGGCTCAGTGGTTAAGAGCTTTGCCTGCTCTTCCAAAGGTCCTGAGTTCAATTCCCAGCAACCACATGGTGGCTCACAACCATCTGTAATGAGATGTGGTGCCCTCTTCTGGCCTGCAGGGATACACACAGACAGAACACTGAATACATAATAAATAAAAAAAATATGGTGTTATTCTTTAAAATACATGCCCTGAGCGGAGACATGAGAATTCTCCAGAGATGAGTGATATTCAAATGGGGTGGGCAGAATTCAGGGTCCTTGGAGGGGACAGGGAAAGGAAGAGGGACACATAGAAAACTCAAATGACTTTTTGAGAAAATAAATAGGTCTTAGGAGAATAGATGGAGCCGGGATAGTCCTGAGACAATGTCTCTTAGAAATGACCTAAGGTCTCATCTCTGAAAAGAGAAAAATGGAGTTGCTCATTCCCCCCCCCCCTTCCAGGGGGGCGGGGTAATTTTCAGCAAACGGAATAAAATGCTGGCTTCTTTTTCTTTTGCAGATTCTACTTTGAGACAGAGAAGGGATTTCAGGATCTCAACTCTTCAGTTCAAAATGATTCTCATGCCCAAAGTGGGCACATATTCTTCATCCCCTTCAAATCAGAAGAGGGCAGACATTGTCTCTGATCATGCCTAGGGCCCTGGGTACCAAGCTCCGTCAGCCTGGGCATGCGATTGTTTTGCAATCTGATCATGTCTTCCTTTCTTACTAGTGTCTAAAGGGTCAAATGCAGGCCCGTCCATTCATAAACATTGATGAGCTTCTGCTGCACTTCGATTTATAAAAAAAGAATAAAAAGAAATCCCTCCCTATAAGGGGCATGGTGTGGAGCCGGTAAAATACAGAGGTGTGGAGTTAACACGTCATCCGGGAAATCAGAAAACAGCAAGTTGTTTCTCTGCCAGGAAGCTCCTGAACCGAAGCTCTGTGACTTCTAGGGTGCTGGTTGGGGCATGTAGGAATGTCCGTGCAGTGACCCACAGAGGGATCCGTCAGTCAAGTACAAGTGTCTAGATTTACGGGGAAAGGGGCTAAGTCCCCCCACACCCTAAGCAACACATTTCACAGGCCTTAGAATTAAAACATTTGAGGTTATTTATTTATTTGCTGAGCTCTGAGCCTAACATGACTCAAAATCTCCGACATCTACCTACAAGCCTGGAACGAGAAAATACGGACAGGGGAAAAAAACCAGGCGCTCACCAGTACATGTAAGACAAGGAATAAAGGGTTTCCCCCAAACAAACAAAACCACCCACCACAACTCTGATGCAGAATATTTTCTTATGATTCTTCATGGAGGGCCTTGGGAACGACGAACACGCCAACAATCCAGACTCCAGGTCATTCGCTACGGCGTCACTCTGTGAAGCAGACACATGCTTGCAAAAGTGAATTTAGCCAGCTGCAGGGGGGCTCAGTCTGGAACCATTCCCCGCGGGAATCACGCGCAGACCTCAAGGGACTGGTGCAAACGAACGTTGCGACTCTCCCAGACTTCGGTAGCCAGCAGGTCTTGGGGGAGAGGTGCGTGCGGACCCACTGATCGTGGCGAGAAAGCCCTGCAGCATCCTCAGACGGATTTTCCTAGGACCTAGTTTCCGCGTGAGCTGAGAACCGTCTATATCAACAAAACAGTGACTATTCAGAACCTCCCCTTCCATATTCCTGGCTCCGCAGCTTCGGGTTATGGTACCCACACTACTGGAACTTCTTTTGCAGTGGTTTTATCTAAATGCAGCTCTGGGTCCTTCGATGCAGTTCTCTCCCCTTCGCATCTCTGAATTCCGTTTTTCTCCAATCTTTTATTCTTTTAGCGCCCGTGTGGTCCAGAAGTCCACAAACTAGAAGAAACAGAGCCGTAAAAGACTGCGGTATCTCTAAATTTTATTTGGGATTCTGAATTATCCCAGGGACTACGGCATTACAGTTTAGGGAAAATTAAAAAGAAAGGCAAGGCACTATGAGGGACCGGTAGAGGGCAGAGAAGAGAGAAGAAAAAACAGGAAAATGACGCAATAGCCAGAGCCGGGACTATTTAGAAAGGTTCCCGCCCGCGCGCTTTCGGTTTTCAATCTGGTCCGATCTTCTCATATATTAGAGGGACGCCACTTCCACTGCTTCACAAGCTAGTGTCTTGAGACTGCAGTCGCCATGTCTGGTAGAGGAAAGGGTGGAAAGGGTCTAGGCAAGGGTGGTGCCAAGCGCCATCGCAAGGTTCTTCGCGACAACATCCAGGGCATCACCAAGCCCGCCATCCGCCGCCTTGCCCGACGCGGTGGTGTCAAGCGCATCTCCGGCCTCATCTACGAGGAGACTCGCGGTGTGCTGAAGGTGTTCCTGGAGAACGTGATCCGGGACGCCGTCACCTACACTGAGCACGCTAAGCGCAAGACCGTCACCGCCATGGATGTGGTCTACGCGCTCAAGCGCCAGGGCCGCACCCTGTATGGCTTTGGGGGCTGAACTGCACCGCCACTGCCTCGTCACCCATCCCTAACGGCCCTTTTTAGGGCCAACCACAGCCTCATCGGGAGAGCTGACACACTTGACTATTGTAACCAAATTACGTTCGTAGCTCTAGACTCGGTAGGGGAAAAGACTCGTCAAAATGGAGTCACTGGGTTTGGAGTCGGGCTTTAATGTTGTTAAAGTTTGATTTCCCTTAGCGGTTAACATCCAGGGCAGGGCCTGCATACAGGCAGCTGTTTAGTCTGCAGCGACAGGATGAGGTGGCTGCAGGTAAGAGGTTAAGGATTTTTAGAAGTCTGTCACCAGAACTGCCTTAGAAAAGTCCCCTCAGTTTAGGTAATGATAGAAAATAGTGGATTTTCAGTAGAGTTAGCAGCTTTGCAAGTATACTAACTATGAGGACTATAGTCTCGATGCTTAAGCAATGTCCACTTGTCCACTTTTTCTTGTAAAGCCGTTGTGGCAGGAACTTCTAAGGAGCTGATGCAGAGGCAATTTCTGGTTTTTGTTTTGTATTTTCTTTTGCTTTGTTTTTAGACACAGGGTTTCTGTGTAGCCTTGGCACTTCCGGAAATCTTCCTGTAGACCAGGCTGGCCTTGAATTCACAGATCCATCTGTCTGCTTCCTGAGTTCTGATATAAAGGTGTGCACCACCACCGGCTTTGTACACAGGTTTGAGGAAAACCTGCACGGGACCTTGCCACAAAGAAAGCCATGGACAAGAGACCGAGGCGAACTATGAACTATAATATAACCTAGTGGCAGCCGCTCAGGTGTGTGGTATGTTGAGACCTGTTTAGGAAGATCTGTCAGAACATGTCCACCACCCATCAGTACAGAGGGAGCAGTTTAATTTTGATAAGGCAAAAACAAATTCTCAGTACGGCCAAGAATGCAGTAAGCTATTCTCTATGCTTCTATTATGCCTGCGCCATGAGCCCCCCAGAGACCACCAGGACTCCGAGTTCACTTAATACAGTGGTATATTATTTGTAGTTTAATAAACCTTGCCTGAAGACCAGAGGCAAAGCTAAAGCCACTAGAGATCAGGTATTGGTGACACACACCTTTAGTCCCAGGATTTGGGAGACAGAATCAGACAGATCTCTGTAAATTCAAGGCCCCCATGGGCTATACAAGGTCAACACAGAAACAAGCCCAGGTGGTGGTGGCTCACCTTTAACCCAGGCCTTGGGAGTCGTGTGCCCTTCATCCCAGCACTAGAGGGAATATAAAATGAGGGGAGAGACTTAGTTTGCAGTAGCCCAACCTTGGTAGAGGCAAGATTTCTGTAGTGACTTGGCTGCTTTGCTTTTCTGGTTTTCAGGTTGAATCCCAATTTCTATCTCTGGGTTATTATTATTCGTGCTACAACATGCAAACAGCAAAAATCCTTTACTACAGGCTCAAGCTCAGGCTCTCTGCTCCGCTCCAGCACAGCTAGACCAGGGGAGGCCTTGAGCTCAGCTATGGCAGGCACAGCGCTTTTAAGGAGGAAGGGATGGAGTTGGGGGGGGGGGCTCCTGGTTGGGCAGGAGTGAGGTAACGGAAGTCTTGTCAAACAGGGATTGGTACTGGCGTTGCTGCAAGGAAACTGGCAGCTTATGTAGAAGTTAGGTAACCTATCCTTAATTGTCTCAGTTCTGATTGGTCTCCAGCGGGGTACAGTCTGTGGCTTTTCCTGGTTATGGTAGTGTTGAGGTCTAGTTCCAGGATTGGATTGTTAGTTTGCAGAATGCCAAGGCTGTGCTAATGTTGGGCCTCTCCACTTCTCTTTCCCTACAGTCCAGATTTGGGTTGAGCATGTTATAGGCTGTTTTATTTTTATTTTAATTGTGCATTGATCTTTTACTTTGGAATATTATACAATCTCCATATTCAGTTACATGATCCTACATAAGGACTGAACTTCCAATTCGAGAAACTGGATTTCAGTGTATACTACCTCAGGAGTGCTGTAAGGATCATCTTAGCCATGTGTTTGTAATGGTCACTTTAAAGAAAATACATTTTAGGTAACTAATGTGTGTGCCCTACAGACACACACACACACACACACACACACGAACAGTTCAAGGCGGCCCATATTGAGTAGAATGAGGAATGTAGATGATTTTCAGAAACTCAAAACTACAGAAATTACTATGTTTGGAGAAACTGGGGAAGCTTGGTGGTAGGGATAGTGTCTATGTCAGTCTTTGGCAAATCCAGAATGCCTTCCTTCATGATAGAAATTCCCTGAGGGCTGGGGTGGGGGCGGGGATAGCAAGGACAGCTTGTGTGACCATTTGCGCTGAGGAAGAAATGGACTCTCCTTCTAAGCCTCGCCCTCGATTTACAGTTCTAGTTCAGATAATGAATGCTGTGACTCCGCCTGTTGGGGCCCTCCAGATGAAAACATCTGCTTCTCACTGAAGCGCTCTGAATCACTGAGTTACAAAGGTTTAAAGAGAACTAACTCAGCCACTAAAGGAAGCAGGAAACCTTTCTCTGGTGAAGTCGGTGGTTCTGAAAGTGGGAATTCCAGTTCTCAGTGTGGATCACCTGAGCCTCGCTGCAGACCAACTGAACTGGGAACTCTGGGTGTTTGGCCCAGCAATTTGTGGCACAATGCCAAGCTCTCCAGGTGGTTCTAACCCACATTTAACAACCACGGACCCAGGTGACAGATGTTTTGGTTGTTATGGTGATGGTGCTGGGCACCACAGGCCAGGCATTCCGGCCAGTTCTCTATCACTAAATTAGAACCCCACCTCCAGATTTCCTTTAGAAGAAATACGTGGCACCCTGCTTGCCATAATATTAGATTTTGGTTTATTTGATGGAAAAGAAAGCAGACCCGAATCCTAATGTTAAGTAAAAGATACAGGTGGAAAAAGACCCAATTGCTTTAACCCTCAAGCAACCATCGAGGCCATAGAAATGAAAAGGGTACAGGCTTGTTTTATTAAGTATTACTGCTTTGTGCTTTTAATAGTGCAGTATTGAATTTTATAATCAATGAGTAAGACTTTTTTTATTCCCCAAATTTTCCAAGATCCAGCCTTTACACCATAGTTTATCTTTTGCCTTTTGAGAGAGGGTCTCCCTAGTAACCCCAGCTGTCTGGGAACTCTGTGTCAGCCAGGCTGGCCTGGACTGTGCCACTGACTCTGGAGTCACCTTTCACTGTTTTCCTTCTACCCCTTCCTTTGAAAGCCTCCACTTCATTGTAGCTGTTAATCTAGATGTTATTTATTTCTCTCTACTTGAGCCAAAAGACCCGCGCTGACATCCAGACAGACTGTGACTAACCATGCTCATTTGTATGAATATATGGAGAATTGCTAGGAATAGTCAGAAAAATTTAACAACACTTTGTAAGTATTGGTATTTTTCTTCCTTGACTTTTTCTGAATTTTTTTTTAATTTCTTACAATACGCATGAATGAATTTCTTCACAAAATGATAAATTATTTGCTGCCTGAGGACAGCAGCCATGGAAAATGGCCCCAGCCCCCAGCATTGATGTGAGCTCACCTGCAGCCCCTGTTCCAGGCCCTGAAGCTATCAAAGGTCATAGATTCATCAGCTTTGTTTAGTTTTTACCTTAACATCACTGTGCTGGCTAGTTTTAACTTAATACACGCTTTAGTCATCTGAGAGGAAGGAACCTCAATAGAGAAAATGCCTCCATAAGATTGTGCTGTAGGCAACCCTGTAGGGCTTTTCCTTAATTAGTGATTGAGGGGGAGGGCACAGCCCATTGTGGGCGGGATCTCCCCCAGGCCGGTAGTCTTGGCTTCTGTAAGAAATAAGATTGAGCCAGGCAGAAGTGACACACGCCTTTAGTTCCCAGCACTTGGGAGGCAGAGGCAGGCAGATCTACAAAGTGAATTCTAGGGCAGTTAGGGTTGTAACACAGAAAAACCCATCTTCAAAAATAAATAAAAATAAGCCGGGCGGTGGTGGCGCACGCCTTTAATCCCAGCACTCGGGAGGCAGAGGCAGGTGGATCTCTGTGAGTTCGAGGCCAGCCTGGTCTACAAGAGCTAGTTCCAGGACAGGAACCAAAAGCTACGGAGAAACCCTGTCTCGAAAAATCCAAAAATAAATAAATAAATAAAAATAAATGAAAAAAAGAAGTGAGTAACCCAGAAAGCAGCACTCTTCCATGGCCTCTGCATCCGCTCCTGTCTCTAGGTCCCTGCCCTGTTGAGTTTCTACCTTCCTTGCTTTCAGTGATTAACTGTTACAAGGAAGTAATATGTACAACAAACCCTCTCCTCCCCAAGATACTTTTGATCATGGTGTTTCATCACAGCAATAGGAACCCTAACTAACCCAAGCCACTTTCCTCCCTTCCCCTCATGCTCTGAGCTTCTACATGCTTCAGAGTGAAGAGGTTCTGTGGCTGTTTCCCCCTCCCCCCCCACAATCCACTGTGAACTGAAGACTGAGATTGGGCCTCCTGCCTCAGGAGTTCCTTCTGGTTCTGTTCACAACCTCTTTCACTTATAAGTCTTTTTGCTGTTATTGTTTTTGTTTTCCAGACAGGGTATCTCTGGCTGTCCTGAAACTAGCTCTGTAGATCAGTCTGACCTCAAATTCACAGAGATCCTCCTGCCTCTACCTCCCAAGTGCTGGGATTAAAGGTGTGTGCCACCACCCGGTTTATACTTTAAAATTATATAAAAAGAATTTTTAAAATTAAAACATTGTTTTTAATGTTGATCTCATTCCACCAATTTTCTGCTCCCCTCCGTAAGGTGGACCAGCTTGCCAATGTGGTCCAGCTTGTCTTGAATTTGTAATTCTCCTGCTTTGGCTTCCAGAGAACTGGGATTACAACTACATTCAGCCCGGAACTGTTGTTGTTTGTTTTTATACAGGAAAATCAGGGCAGGATTCAAATCGGACAGGTATCTGGAGGCAGGAACTTAAGCAGAAGCCATGAAAACTTACTGGCTGTGTAAGAGTTTAAGACAATTCTGAAGCCATTTCTGGCAATTCTGAATCCTCTCGGCCTCCGTGCCATAGTGCTTCCCCTCCTCCCCTGGGAACCAAGGA